AATATACTAGTTTTATGTCTGTCTTTTTTTTTTAAGTTTAACGTTCATTGAAACGTACGTGAATTGATAGTTTTTTTTATTAATGATATATGTGTTGTTTTCAACAAAAAAGCTTCTAATATACCAAACATAAACTATGAATAATCACTGAAATCATAAAAAAAACATCCATTCACAAACTAATTTGTATTAACAATATACCAAACATAAACTAAGATGTTCAATAATTGTACATATCCCTAAAATGTACATGTACTTGACATATACCGCCAATACACGCTACATATACCAAAAAAAGTATAACGAACAATTTGTTAGGGCTTTATATGATATCTAAGTTCCAAAAAAAATGTAAATGTCACCTCCCCTCACTCTCTCCTCCAGCTGGAAGTAAATCTCCCCGTCCGGGAACCTCTTCCTCTTTTGGGAACATTTAATCTATCCTACAAATTATGATAACACAGGATAGAATCAATCAAACAAGAACAAGAACAAATCTTCGAGGGGAAGAATTATCAGACAAATAAGAATTTTCTATAACTACAAAACAGAAACACAACAAATTACCTCAAAATTCCATCATTAATCGGAAAAAAAAAAAATCGATTGCTGAGGTAAATTAATGTGGCGGGAGATGATCCACCAAAAATCAATTACATAAATTCAATAACCCAACTCCAAGAACATTCAAAATTCGCAAATTTGCACAGGATAAAGTGAAAGACATCAACTTTATTGATCTCAAATACCTCTTTATTAATGTCAGGGTGATACTTCAAAGCTCGTTTCCGGTATGCCCTTTTGATTTCATCAGCAGTTGCAGATTGGGGCAAGCCCAAAACCTCGTACGGGGATTCTTTGCGACTTGCTCTTAAAAGGATCCTAAAATCGCCACCTCTCTCCTTCTTGAAGCCTCTAAGAGATCGTGACCCAAATAGGACAGTTTCATTCTCATCGCCATAGTTGAATCGCGCAGCAGAGCAATTTAACTGCAAACATTTGGAGATGGCGGATAGCATTTAATTTGGATGAAGGAAAATTTGGAGGTGGGGTTTTGGTGAGAGAGAGAGGGGATTTAATTAAAGATTTAATTAGCATTTAATGGCCAGAGAAAAAGGGAATAACGGTTAATCTCAATATTATGTAAAATTAAAAATATTTTGGCTTAGTTAGGCAATTTTATAAATAATATCATAAGGAGTATATAAGTGTAATAAAAATTATAGCTGATGGTATAGAGTGCTAATTTCTCTATATAATTACTGGCTCATGAGTATTTAAGAAAAATTATTAAATTATACCTATGTGGCAATTTAACATTTTTCCTCCAAAAATCGTTACTTTTGATTTATTTAACCTTTCGTTTAATTAATAGATAATCAGCAGATTAATCATTTAACCTTTCATTTATTTAAAATTACAAAATCATTTCAAACTTTTGATTAGTGACAGTTGACCATATAGATGTTATTATTGTGGTTACATGTAAATTATTTTTTTTTGAAAAATAAAAAACGTATCTGAAATTTCTAAATAAATAATAAATAATTTACACAAAAAAAATACATACCAAAACATACATTGCATCCAATCTAATAAACACAATTTAAAAATATATATATATATCAATCCCTTTAATTGTAAATTTGGCCTGAAAAAAATAAAAGAAAAATCATTAATCATTATATACATACAAATAACTCACAATACTTTATTTACATTTGCAAATTCACATGGTCGAATACTAGTGACTTACATAAGATGGAAATTTGAATGCGTGAGGGGACGATTTTTCTTGAGGATTCTTGGGGGTTACAATTTGTCTAATTAAGGGAGTTTTGACTTAGGTCTCTTCACTAAAGTAAGGTTTCTAACCTCTTTTCCCTTCCTTTTCCTTTCTTGTTCATTTTTTATTTAATTTTATAAAAACCAAATGAATTATTTGGCCAACAATTTTACATGGATTGATATAATAATTTTAATAATATTATGGTTAATATTTCTTATAATTTATGATCAAATTTTATTAAATAATTACTATAAAAATTATTCAAGCTTATTTGATTAAATTGAGCTATGCTTTTGAATAAAAACTTATGCTTTTACTAGACAGAACGGGGCGCTACCCCTAGGTCCACTCCACGCCACAGAAGCGGATCGCGATATGCTTATTGCGTGAAATCCTATACATTTTTTTTCTGCAAAAGGGCATAGTGTTTTTTTAGGATGTGATCAAAATATAAAGGATTTTACTATTGCTAGTGGTGATTTTAATTATTTTTAGTTTCGAGAAGTGAAAGGTTATCAATAAATGAGTAGTAATAATTGTGTTATGTACATGCGATTTGTCTAAGTCTTTTACGTGTAAAATCAGACAATCAATGTTGTGCGTAACCTATGCAAATAAAATGGCGGAGAGTACTAAATTATACGGCTTTAGATTTGAATGTGCGATTCTTAAATATGGAAAAATATTACGCATAACCGTTAATTATATAGTGTTATAAATATGGATATGCGAGTCGTAAACTACACGAACATTTGTTGCAAAATCATTAAATATGCGACATTTGGTTTGGATATGCGGTTACTGTATATGCGAAACACTATCGCATTTGGTAAATTAAGAGTTGTATTTGGATATGCGAGATGTATACTATGCGAAAAAATATCGCACAACATAAAATATGTGACATTCGATTTGGATATGCGATTATTGAATATGCGAAACATTAGCATATGGTAGATTAAGCGGTAGATATGGATATCCGAGTCGTAAACGATGTGAAAACATGCCGCATAACATAATATGCGACGTTGGATTTGGAAATTCGATTTTTGAATAGACAAAAACTTCTCGCGTGTGATAAATTATGTAGTGGACTTGGATATTCGAGTCATAAACTATGCGAAAACATGTCGCATAACATAAAGTATGCGACGTTGAATTTGGAAATGCGACTTTTGAATATATGAAATGGTAAATTATGCAGTGGATTTGAATATGCAAGTCGTAAACTATGCAAAAACATGTCGATTAACATAAATATGCGACGTTGGATTTGGATATTCGATATTTCAATATACAAAAACTTCTCGCATATGGTAAATTATGCTGTGGAATTGGATATGTGAGTCGTAAACTATGCGAAGACATGTCGCATAACATAAAATATCTGACGTTGGATTTTGATATTCGACTCTTGAATATACGAAAACTTCTCGCATATGGTAAATTATGCAGTAGATTTGGATATGTGAGTCGTAAACTATGCGAAAATACGTCGCATAACATAAAATATGCGACGTTGGATTTGAATACGCAATTACATAATATGCATAAGTGTTTTGCATACTTGTTAATTATGCGTTCGATTTGGATATGAGAGACATAGATTATACAAAAACTTGTTGCATAATCGTAAAATATGGGGCTAATATAGATAAAATTACATAAACGAAATAAATTCGCATAACAAAAATTATGTGGTGGGATTGAATATGCATTGTTATATCAATGACAAAATCTCGTTTAATTGTTAATTATACAATTCATTTGGATATATAATTTAAATCGTATATACTTTCGCGATTATTGGGGTGAAAAAGAAGTTTATTGATAGGACAGTGCGTAAAAAAAATGCATGTATATAATGAGAGGTGGACAAGAAATTCACCCTAAAAAATAACTATAAGTGAAAAATTCGCCCCATGAAATCTCACTAATATGAAGTGCTTAAAACACCTGGCAAATGAAACAAATGCTCGAAATAAAAATCCAGGGTTCATTCGAGTCTTCCAAACAATTTTCTTACGTAGGTTGATTTTAACACTAAACCGGGGCAAAGCCAAAAGCGAAAAGGCCCAACGATCAAAGAAAGAAAAATGCAAGAAATGTACAACAATATCTAGCTATAAACCCATTCTTGTTAACTTCTTGCATATGGTAAATTATGCGATTAATTTTGATATGTGAGTTGTAAACTATGTGAAAATATGTCGTATTACATATAATATGCGACATTGGATTTGAATACGAAATTACATAATATGCGTAAGTGTTTCACATACTGTTAGTTATGCGTCCGATTTGGATATGTGAGACATAAATTATGCAAAAACTTGTCGCATAATCGTAAAATATAGGGCTATGAATTTGGATATTCGATAATTATATAGGCGAAATAAATTTGCATAGCGTTATGCGGTGGAATTGGATGTTAATATATCTACAACAAAACCACTTTTAATTGTTGATTATATGGTTCATTTGATTATATGGTTCATTTGATTATGCGATTTATTTAAATCGCATATAATTTTGTGATTATTAGGGAGAAAAAGAAGCTTTTTGATAGGAAAGTGCATAAAAAAAAAAAAAAAA